AAGTTGCGGCGCGCACGTGTCCGCGTTCTCCAGTTCTCTCGCCGAAGTTCCCCTCCGCTTTTACGCGCGCCTCATTAATTACCGCCATCGTCTTCCAGCACTCGGCTAAATGGCCGTTGCGCGATTCGACCAAGTTGCTTATTGCCGCGCCGTCGTCGCTCATTCAAGAAGTTGAAGACGAGTCTGTATTACTTCCGTGTGAGGGATCGCTAAAAGGTATATCGCGCGCCTCTGGCCGTCCTTTGGCGGCTGCTATCGATTTTTTCGATTCATTAACATCCCCGAGCAAGCGCGCGTGCTCTCGAAGGAGGCCGCCGCGCCGTTGCCGCTGCCTTTCCAAGCGAAAATTGCTCGATAACGCGCCGGCCGCTATTTCTGCGCGTACCTGCATCCTACGCGACGGTATTTCGCGATCGCGATCGCGAACTCGCGAACTCGCGCCGATCGTTGGAGCGGCTTGATCGCGAGAGCGGACGAGTCGAATTTATTCCGCGCTCTCCCTCGGCGGGCGTCCGATAAATCGTCCGGCCGATCGCCGGGGACGCAGCGATAAATTACTTTTCGCCGTATAATCGATCGCAATCCTAATAATTCGACCTGTTTACACAGGTGCGCGCAGCGAAACGCGGCGTGCGCCGGCCGTTACAAAGATGATTAATCAACGCCGCGCGCGATCATGTATGCGTGCGTATGGATATATAGACGCATATTTATATACAGGCTCGGTGTATAAACTAGAATTTAACGCGCCGGGTACGTGCCCGATACTTGCGTAATGCATTCGACTAATCTGATCAACGCGTTGCATCGATTTGCTTCTTGCGATCCGAGTGCGCATCGCAGCGCGACGCAGCGCGCTCGCTTGAAAAGCCATTAGTCCGGCGGATATAAGTAGCCGCGTGCGTAATTATACGTGAATGCGCATCCGTGTAATCCGCGCCCGATATTGTCCCGATCCGAACCGATCTCCGTCGACAGTTTGAACGGTTTGAACGGCCGCGTTCGAAATATTCAGTCCGACGGTCGTCGCGCGCCCACTAGAATGTAATCATCTCGATCGTTCTCGAGTATCCCCAGAACGGGAGAGGGTTGGGAGTTTATATTATTTCCCAGGGAGGGGGAGATTGAAAGGGTGAAAAGAAAGGGGATCAAAGGAGAAGGGTTGTCGGGCGTGGAAGATTCAAATTTATAAATTCGCGAACGAGGCTCGCGCGCCTCTCCCTCTCTCTCTCTCTCTCTCTCTCTCTCTCTTTCTTTCTCTCTCTCTCTCTCTCTCTCTGCACTCAAGCGACTGCTTACCGGTCGTTAGCGGTCTCAAGCGTCGGTCGAGAATCCAATTTATACGGTATTGTGACTCCCGGCTAGGGATGCAACGATTTCTCAAAATATCGATAACGATATTATCGTCATTCAGAACTGTCGATAACGATAATATCGATAATTTTGAAAAACGTCGATATTTATATAAAAAAATGTATACATATAAGGGTATGCGTATGAAGGGTATACGCGAAAAATTTAGAAAGATCTTTTAAAAATTTTTATCTCCGTATAATTTATTGTCATATTCTTATTAGAAAATATATAATAAACCGCAGTCATTTGTCGGATATCACCGCATACACGGAGCAGGAGATACATTACGGTTCAACGATTGAGGTGAAAATGATAAAAATGAGCGAATTTATTAGACATCGACCAATTACATAATATACAGGGCGTCCCATTTTAACTTTCGCATTTATTTAATAATTTTGAAATTTCCGTCAGTTAGGGCACTATTATAGCAATATATTCTTGATAGTAAATAAAGTAAAAAAGTCTAATACTATTTTTTCTTTCGACGAATAGTTAGCGAGATATCGTAAGTTAAATGTTGAAAAAGTTACCAAGTTTCCCTTAAAAATTGCAAAAAATATTAGGCAGATGAAAAAATGTTTCAGACAAAAGTTGTTAAAATTAATTGGTAGAAAAAGAAGATATAATAAAAAAATTGGGCTTTCTATTTTAAAAAATCAAGTTGACCTTCAACTGACCTTGAAAACGCCCTCCAAATAAGAAACCGATAATGCCATTCTCTTTCCCCTTTCGAAATTATGGAAAATGTGTTTTAGCTTTTTTTAATATCTTTCATAGTTTTCGAGGTTTTTTAATGCGAAAGTTTAAATGGGACACCCTATATATTCCAGTGAATTCACTCACTTTTGTAATTTTCATCTCGGTCGTAGAACCGTAACAGGCTCCCAGAACTCTAACTGAAAAATACGAAATATCAGTAAAATTCATATCGATATATCGATTTTATCGAAGACAAAAAAATATCGACAAATATTCGATATTTGTCTCTCGATATATCGATATTTCGCTATTATCGATTTATCGTTGCATTCCTACTCTCGGCGTGGCCCGGCTAACGGCCGCCGGCATGGCCGACGACTACGAACGACAGCAACTTTCTGGCTTTGTTTGCGCGTTGCATCAACGAATCCGCGTCCACTGTCACAAGCGAGCGAGCGCGGTGCTCCTCTCGCGATCGATCGCGAGGCGACGCGCGTTCGCAGCACAACGACGCCGACGACGAGCTTGGAAACGTCGTCGAGTTAATCGCATAAAAAGAAAAAAAAAGTCGACGCGCCTCGAAAGCTGAGCTCCGACTTTCCGTACAAACGGAATACATCGCATCAATATTACCAAACTGCATAATGCCGCTTCGTTGGGAGCGAGGCGAGGCGAGGCGCGGAAGCCGCGCGACGAAGTACGTGATTATCGGGCCGACGGAACTTGTAATATACGATTGATGCTGCGAAGTGATGAATTTCGCGGAGAACTTCCGACGCCTGGGGCACTGCTGTTCAAACTCGGAATATTAATCCGTCCGGGGGGGGGAGGGGGCAGAGAGCAAGAAGAAGAAGAAGAAGAAGATGGAGGGGAGGGGGGCGGTCGAGGCGCTCGTGCTCGCGCGAGCGCGCGGTATGTATTTGTCGCGATCTCACGATACCTCGACCTGTCTTCAATGGGTGCACGTGCGCCGAATTCGCCCGGAGGGCCGACGGCCATTATTCTCCCTGTGGACAGAGTCCTGTTGCATTTCGTATTCGGGGACGGAGGCGGCGGAAGCCGAACTTGCTGCCGCAGCAGCACGTGCTCGAATACCATTCGGCCCGGGTCAGAGGTGGGACGTGCACTCTCGCACACACGGGTTTGTCAGAGGATTAAAGTAGTTTACTTGCTGTCGTTTAGCCGCGATAGATCGTACGCTCGCGCGCCAAGTGGACCGAGCGCGCGCGACTTCGGAGGTCGGCTTCGGAGTTGGCGTCCTCCGTCGTCGGCGAGCGTGCGGGTTGGGGCAGCTCGCCAACTTTATAATCGGCCACGTGCATTAATCCGCCCAGCCGGCCCGCGGCCGTCTGATGCGTTAAGGTTGACCGCGGGATGGACCGTCTGTCGAAATTTCAAAGACGCGCTCTCTCTCTCTATTTACTTGCTTGGCAATCCGACGGAGAAATTATGCAAAGTCATTGAAAAAAAGTAGCGAATCCCTGTCTCCATTTTTCTCTCTCCCTCTCTTGTGGAATATTATCCTTCTTTCGGGCGCTTCGTGACGTCGAGATTGTCGAGCAGTCGACGACCTTCGCTAACTACCCGAGCAAAAAATTGTTAGGGCCATCCTCATGAAGCATAAGGCCCCGATAAGGCTGAAAATAGGATGCCCTGAAAAAGGATGTCTCATTATTACCACGTCAGGCCCCGAGATGAATCTTTTGGGGATACCTTAGATTTTATGAAATAAGGCTTTGATAAGGAAAACTGATTTTTAGAAGAAGATTTATTAGGAGTACCTTAGATTTAATAAATAAGGTTTTGATAGGGAAAGCTAAGAAGGGCCTTGGAAGGATCTTTTAAGAGGATGCTTTAGATATGCAAAATCAAATTTTGTTATAAAAAATTAGTAAGATCTGAAGCGTGTAATAAAATTATCATAATTTAGTATTGTTTTAGTAGGTATGCTCTGATTTTTTTTAAGATTTTTTAATTATTAAATTAAAAACAAATTTTATTAGTTGTATTATTATAGTTACCATATCCATTAGTCTCTCAAGGATTTTTCTAGTATTGCCTTCGTTTTGGAATGCAGCAAACATTAATTAAAACAGCAACATTTTTATGTGTAAAGAATATTATATTTTATATTACAAAGTATGCTATATTTTTAAAATGAAAAATTCTTGTTGTATATCAACAAGGTTATAAAGAAATAAAGAAATTACAGTTTAAATTTCTTGCAATGAAAAGAACGAATATTGCTACTCGAGCAGTAATAAAAATATTTTCTCACAAGGCCCTTATAATATTGCCTTATAAGGACCCGTTAAACCATTTTTTACACATCTTGTAGAGCTCTTGTCTTTCTACCCCTACTAGGGCCCGATTAATGTTCAGAGGAAAATAATCAGGCCCTTACCAGAGTCCTATTAACTTTTCTACTCGGGCAACTCGCGACGAGCGAATTGTAATGCTTCTTTCCCACGTGTGCACGTGGTTTAATGTGTACGCTTTACAAATGGAATTTCAAGTCAATTTAGATTACAGTCTCAAAAGGCAAACAGTTGCTAGCCGTTCGTCGACGCGGACGAGAGGCTTCTTATTTCGAGCAATGTCGAAAATTGCGTTCGGAAAAAGATTGCTACTCGACGCAGGCTACTGCGAGCTCTCGACAGACGGCGAAGAGGCGGGAGAGGCGGACAGACAGAGGGAAAGAGAGCAGACGCATTGTTCCGAAGAGACTGTTTGTTTCAGATAACGGAAATAATTAAATTGCCTTTCCCCGTTATGTTATTTCCGAGGAGGAAGAGTGCTATCTCCCCTCTTCCGCCGCGCCTCGTATCTCTTCGCAAATATGCTTTGACAAGGGTCGCGATTATTCGTTGCGGCACACAAGCCCCCTGTGCGAATAACGCACAAGCTGACTGACATTCGATTTTTCTCCTTCTTTGTCGCAGAGAGCCTTTGCGGGCGCCACGAGAAACGCTTATTGAATCACCTGCTGTTAAATTACAACACCTTGGAGCGACCGGTCGCGAACGAGAGCGAGCCGCTGGAGGTGAAGTTCGGCATCACTCTGCAGCAAATCATCGACGTGGTAAGTCACGAGAGGAATCTCTCCGCTCATCTCGCAGGAAGCTGCTTAAAGACACCTCGCAAATGCTCCTCATCGTGTCGCGCGGGAAATATCTCGAGATCCTCCCTGAAATTCCGACCGCGGCGAGTAGATCGCGTCGACGCCGCCGCCATCGCCGCTTGTACGCAAAAATTGAAAAATCAGAATCCATTTCTCATGTTTTCTCTTCCATCAATCTTGTAATTATACGTCGAGTTAAGTGCACGGTTACATTACATTTGACGCGCGAGAGCGCGTCGGCATCGGCCACGATCCAACGAGGGCGGAGCAATTTACTTTGGAAGCGATTAATAAAATTTGCACTTCCTGCAGACTGAACGTCCGTATTTCGTAATCTCAACCGTTCTCTCCTTCCCTCCGCGCGATCAAAGTGTTCGCTTTAATGAACGGAAGATTAAAGCATCCCCCAAGCAGTCGGAACGCACTTGTTATTTTTGCATCAGCATGCCGGGATATCCCTCGATTATCCCGTACTAATTCCGTTGTTCTCCCTAAGCGCGTGGGCGCGACGCGCTCTCGCGCGTACTACGTATTTCACTTACAATATAACATAATAAATCTCAGGCGCTGCATTTTACATCTGCGTATTAAATCTTCAGCGTTTTTCGCGCTTCACCAGGCGGGGGATAATGTAAAGTGACAAGAATAACGACGGGAATGAAGTCAATGTGACGCGGATGAATCGCTAGCTCGCGCTTGCGGATTCATGCTCGGCGTGCAGCGCGCGCCGCGTCCCTTTAATCCGATCATTACGCGAGCTACTCGAGCGCGCAACACATACGGCAACAATGCACGTCCGAAAGATTACGTATGCAACAGTTGATAGCGAGCCAACAACGGCCGGCCTGAGGCGGCGCACTTAAGAGTGCGCGCGTTCGCGGATACGTCGCGAATCTTCCAGGGCCGCGAGTAACCATTGCGCCAGAGCGGAGGGGAGGGGGGAGTATTCTGCAGCCGTCTGCGTGAAACCCCGAGATAAGAAGCGGCGAGATTAGCGCGGCGTGAGTTTTTGCGCGTCAAAATATCGGGTTTATCTAAATGAGGCGCGCGCGGAGTCGGCGGGAAGCGGGGGGGGGGGGGGCGGGGCGACGAATGGGGCGAGATTGCATTACGGGTTCTTCTCCGTCTTCGTTCCCTCTTACCGCGGCTATTTACTCCCCCGTCGTCGTTATACATACAGCGGTACTATCCGCGCGCGTAAGTCTTATGTACGCGCGAGATGCGCGTCCCGAGGAGAGACCTGAAAATGCGTCGGCTGAACGAAAGGCGACTCCAATACGCGCGTTAATTCCCTGATCAGGCAAATTCCCGCTCCGCCGTCGTCGGATGTGACGTTTCGCAGGAGCGGGCGGAGAAGGGGGCAGAAATTACGCCACACGCTGAATTCTTTCGCGAGTCGTTCGAGCCGAACTTTGCGACTTTTCGCGGAAACGCGAAGAACGCGCGGTTCTCCCCTTTCCTCCCTCTTTCCCCCTCGCCTAGAAATCGCGTTAAATCTTTATCGACAGCAACGTCGCGTGCTCTTTCCGTATCTCGGCGTTTTCTGATGCATGAATATTACAACTGGCTCGCTCGCTCAAAATCGCAGCCGCTCCCGATGATTCGCGCCCTCCCCCCCCCCTCCCCGCCCCAGTCCGACCAGTCGGAGGAATAATCGATCCACGGGCCGATCTACGGTCGCGAGGCTCTCTCTCTCTCTCTCCGTGTAAATAAAGTGCCGGCTGATCGATATTTGACGGCTGTAACAAATGGAGCGAGCGCGAGTGCTCGTTAAGGATTTATGACGCGCGGGAACTTTCCTCGCCGCTCGTGGCTCACAATTATAAATTGGAGGAGGCACGCGCCGAGGCCGCTCGATCCTCTTCGTTTTGCCCGGGCCGCGGTGTTATATAGCCTAGATTAAAGAAACCGATCGCGCTTCGGTGTTGCCTCTCATAACATTCTTACGGGCGGCGCTAACTACCCAGGGAATATATCCGTTACGATGAATCCCTTTCCCCTTCCCCGCCCCTCCCCTCCGCGCTAACGTCCGTCTGCTATTTTATTTCCCACGCGCGATGAAGCCTGCGAGATTCCGTCCGCCGCGCCGCGCCGCGCCGCGTCGTCGAGAGCTCCTCTCGGATCTCGCCCGCCGCGCTCCTCGAGTTTCCTCTCGCGTCTCACGAACACGCAGCGACGCGGTATGTATGTGTGCATTAATATCGTTTGATTACGCAACTGAAACCGTCGCGAAGGATGTCGCACGCCAGCGTTATTTATGCGCGAAGCGCACGCGGGTCGTTTAGACGGCCATTTATCTTCGCCTCGTTCGCTTTCCCTTCGCCCGCGCTCATTATTGTCGTTATCTTCGTTGTTACGATCATTGTTTTATTTCGCACCGTGGCTTTCCCTCGGAAATTTATACAATCTGGTATATACAGGATATTCGTTTGAAAACTTTCCAGCTAATTATCTCGAAAGGTACGAAAGATATTAAAAAGAAGCTAAAACGTGTTGCATGATTTCGAAGGGGAAAGAGAATGGCATCGTCAGTTTTTTATTTGGATTTGACATTTTCAAGGTGAGTTGAAGATCAACTTAATCTTGTAAAATAGAAAGCCCAATTTTTTGTTACATGTTCTTTTTCTAATTACCAATTAATTTTAACAACTTTTGTCTGAAACATTTTTTTTATTCGCCTAATATTTTTTGAAATATTTAAAGGAAACTTGGTAACTTTTTCAACATTTAACTTACGATATCTCGCTAACTATTCGTCGAAAGAAAACATTAGTATTATACTTTTTTTACTTTACTTACTATCAAGAATATATTACTATAATAGTGCTCTAACTTTTGTTAATTTAATAATTTTGAAATTTCCAAAGATCGATTCGAAAATTCTCTTCCGCCTTCGAAATCATGGAACACGTGTTTTAGCTTTTTTTAATATCTTTCATAGTTTTCGAGATAACTAACTGGAAAGTTTTCAAAAATGAACACCCTGTGTATATATATATTTTTTTTCAGTAAAAGCAAAAGACGTTGTGTGTTCTGGACGTTAAGAGCGCGGACATTTCCGAGACAATTCCTTCTCTCTCTCTCTCTCTCTCTCTCTCTCTGCTTTTCCTGTCTCTTCCTTCCGGTAGCAAAACATATTCCATTAAATTTCCCGTTCGCCATCCTTACTACATCCTTACTACATCCGTGCTACCGTTCTACTAACTCGCGTCGCTCAAGCTAACTGATGTTTTTGCCGTTGCCTTTTCAAAGTATCCGTTGCCTTTGGGAACAACATCGCTGTAGTTTTTCCGTCCGATGCAAGAGAGAGAGAGAGAGAGAGAGAGAGAGAGAGAGAGAGAGAGAGAGGGGATGGGTGGGAGGGAGAGAGAGGCAAAGCTGGAGCAAGAAACTTGGCAAGCTTAATGAATTGATTCATAAATCTCCCGCGCAGCGGCAAAATTCTAGTTCGACTTAAATTACATCCGGTGTCGAATGAAATGCTGTAACCTTTCGCTTTTGCATACATTCTTAACACGATTGCGCGATTGCATATTCACCCCTTTCGCGCGGCGCCTCGCGAACGATAAATGCGCACGCGACACAAATACTTTTAAAGCGTTTATTTTCCGGCAGCGCGCGCGCCGACTAAATTATCCCCGAAATTTCCATGCGGCGTCATGAGATATTTTTATTATTATTATTATTATTATTATTATCAATATCATCGCGGGAATTGCGGATTAATTAAAGCAGATAAATCGAATGTGCCCGGAGGATGACGCGGAATATTAAAAAATAATTTGGAGATAAAAGGTGTCGCGTAATAACGTGCGCGCGCGCGTGTGACGTGACCGAACTTTCGGTTACTTTGCGCAACGTTATCTTTGCGGATTACTTTACGGGTCGTAAGCTGCCTGAAGCGGCTGGCCCGGGCAAAGTCGTATCCGTAAGAACCGTATTAATATTCCAGTTTAATTAAGCGACGTATTAGAACGCGGTCGCGGCAACAAATTTGCGCGACACGATATAACGGGTAATTAGTTTCAACTTAAAAGTGGCCGGCACATGGTTTAATCTTAGCCCGAGCCTTCGCGTCGCGAACTGCGACGTGCACCTCTCCCGTCTCATGAATACCGGAGTATTGGTCGGAAAAAAGTTTCGATGTATTCTGCTTGAAATCTCAACTCTCTCTCTCTCTCTCTTTCTCATTCGTCGGAGATCGGAACGCGCGAGGTCCCGCGTAAAAGCCAAGTCCCTTTAATTGATCACGTAAAGAGCCGGAAAAGTTCATAATGGCGAGCAACTTGATTCCGACGTCGGACGAGACGGAGAGAAACTGATAGCGGCGAGTAAGATCAACAAAACTTTGCACTCGCGTCCGCGAGGGCGAACTACGAATTAATCGCGTATTCGGCCGAGTGGGCCGGCCGAAAGGGGACGGACTCGCTTGACTCGCCATTACCACTTACGCGGGGAACAATGGAGTCCCCGGCAGCGTGTTGTCGCGTCGGCGAGCACTCGACGTTTACGGCGCACCGTGCGGATTTTTATTGCCCCGATATCGATAATGCGCGCCGGGATATAATACCGCGAGCAGGACGATTACGTCTCTCTTAATTCCACTTGTGAGCTCTCGCGGGGTTGTAAACTTTTTACGCCCGACGGCCGACCGTAAATTTCCGAACGTTCGCTCGTTCGGCGCGTCTCCCTCACTTCCGCGCCGGCTCGGCCGACGAAACGCCGACTCGCACCACTGTCTTCGCCTCGCAGCGCTAAAGCGCGGCTCAACAAAGCGGCGGAGGAGGCCGCGAGATATGGGACATGCGCCGTTATTTTCTTTATCGCCGTTATCATTCCTCAAGGAATGCGTCCGCGGATTCCACGTGTGCGAAACGCAACGGTCAGAATATTATTGTAGTTCCTCCGCTTCCTCGATATGCATATATATATATATATATATACTATATATATATAATATA